CAGAATTTGACAAGTACTGCAAACAATATTTAAAACTTGCTTGGGAGAAACGTTCATATTTGAAACTGGTTTGATTTTACATTGTTGCTTTAAGTTACTTTTCTTTGTTCTTCGGTATTTGATAGGCCTAACTGTTAAGCCTTTTGTTTTTGTTTAATTCTAATTTTGTTTTTATTGATACTTTTGTTAAGCTTTGTCTAAATTGATTGTGCTTTCTTTAACACAAGAATTTTTTTTCCTACTGTATTTAATAGGCCTGTTTTTGTTTTTGTTTAATCCTTTGTTTAGTTTTCGTAGATACTTTTGTTAAGCCTTGTCTAAATTGATTATATTTCTTTAATAAGAGAAGAGCAATTTGTTCTCTTAGTTTAAGATTGACTGCACCACTTAATTGTGTGTTGCCACTGTTATAAAAGTGAAATGTGGAATAAATTATTATTATTATTATAGCAGGTCGAGGTTACCCACATCTTTATATTTGCACAAGTAATTAAAATTGTTTATTGAGCAAATTAATTACACTGATAAACAATTGTACTATATTCGGCTGATGTATATGAACTTCTATTTAGAGACATAATTTCATTATTTTCCTTCCAAAAATCTTAATAAACGTTAACTAGCACCTTATATCGACTTTTGAATGGTGAAAATCGGCTCAGTACAACCCATTTTACCGAGTACAAATTTTAAGTTAATAGAACATACTGCTGTTACATCTTCTAGTTTACCCCCACCGTTGTATTTAGGTACACCATGGACCTATTAATAGGTCCATGGGTACACCATGGCTGTAAATTGTGATTGTTACAGCATGCACGCAAAGATCATACGCGGCGGATACCCTACGCGGTGCTATTTACACGACCTTTTGTTACTTTTTCGCCAGTGAAGTCATGGTAAAATCGTATATAATCGCCTTTAACTTCATAAAAAAATAGCCAAAAAATGATTTTAAGTCAAAAATCCACTCTAGAACAAAAAATCATTTTGCTAGTTCTCTTTTAAGTTCTTCAAAATTCAAGGTTTTCCCTTCTTGAAAACAGTCAGGTAAAATTTCTCATTCTTGTTACAGTAAATAGGCCTTATGTGTGTATACATACATAAACAAAATTAAGTAAATAAATCCCAAAAAGAAAGGGGGGGGGGGCGGTCCAGGGTTCTCTCCCGGGAAAATTTTGATTCGTAGATGGCGGGAAATGAGCTTTCTTGACTTCTGAGGTGTCCTTTAATGACTTCTTCAAAATTTGAAGTTTTTCCCCTCTTGAAAACGATTCCATGAATCAATGAACCACAAAAAGAAAGGCGGGTTCGGGTTCTCCCCAGAAAAATATCTAATGGCTGGAAATGAGCTTTCCCGACTTCTCAAGTGTGTCTTAATGACTTTTAAGTTCTTCAAAATTAAAGGCTTTCCCCCTTGAAAACGGTCAGGTAAGGTTTTTTTTTTCTTATTACAGTAAATAGGCCTATTGTGTGTGAACCGGTATACATACGTTGCATACGTATTCTCTTTTCCATGAATCGATGACAGCAAAAATAAGGGTCCTCCGCGAGAAAATGTTATTTCCTAGATGGCGGGAAATGAGCTTTCCCGCCTTCTAATTTTCTTATTGTAGCAAAAAAAAAAAAAAAATATCAGCTCACGAGTCCTGAAAAGGTAGGTATAGAGTTTCTTTTATTTATTTTTTTTTCTCCCAAGGGAGGGGTCAGGACCCCTGACCTCCCAGATCCACCAATGTGAATTCCGAGAACTCGGTCGGGAACTGGATAAACACTCTCTTTCCCCTCCCTCTCCTCCTTCCCTCTTTTTTTTCCTTGCATTTCCTTCTGATCATACAAAAATCTCCATAGACGATATTATTTTCTGCCAAACACCTGGCTCCCGGTTGCGCCGGCCATATTGTCCGATGTGTGTGTGGGGGAGATGTCCCCAACGAAAAAAAGTGGGTGTGGTCGGGCTTCGTTCAAAGTCCCTCCAAATTGTTCCGGGGGGGGGGGGGCGAAGTCCCCGAAAAATATGGCAATTTAGGGGTTTCCAGGGCTTATTTAAACGATTTTGGAGTCTACTAAATATGTAGAAAATACATATACATTTTTTTCCTCCCCGACGAATTGTGGTTTTTCTCCCCGCCGGGGGCCCTGGCACCCCCCCCCCCTGGTGTCACACCTCCAATGAATAGTTATTGAGACGTTGCAGAAGAGAAATTTTAAGCCCTGTCTGGACTACCAAATCTTATTTGACAAAAACATGTGACATGATCATATATGATTACATCACATCATGACCATATATAGGCATCTGACTACATATGGGCACACTGTTTTGTAAAAAAAAAAAATATTGATATTCTGGATGAAAGGAAAAATACTTGGCCTTTGTTACCCCCTCCACACAAGGACTTAAACTCGTGACCTTTTGCCTTTATAAAGGAACAATAATGTAGAGGCATGAAATGTATATGTATGATCTTGATTGCCATTACGCTTCAACTCAAAAATTCCCATCCCACTGCCATTCATTGCTTATTTTTTTCAGTTTATCTAATTTAGAGCTAGAAATCATCATAGTCAGTCTGTTGAAAATATTAACATCCTGAACTCCATTATAGAACTGTGATCAGGATGATTTTTTTTTGGGGGGGGGGGGGGGGCCCGGGCAGGCTGACCCCACCCATCCGACCCTACCCCCCATTGGAAAGTAAAACAAATGAATAAAAAAAAAATTGTTGAATGCCCAAAACGCCTCATCATAGTTTACTTCTGTAGTTCAGAAAATAAAATTTTCTGGGCGCCACACCCAGACCCCCCTAGGATTGGTGTTTTATCTTGATAGCCCCCCTCCCCTTAACCCTTTTGACACCTCTGGATCCACCCCGGGTGATGCATCTTCAGTAATTGAAAAAAATGCGTTGCATGCTAAAATAAAATATGTGAACTCATTCATTTAATAAAATATAACACACAAACATATACCCAATTCAAATTTTATTCAGCATATGTACCTTCTCATTTGAGGCATGTCGTGGCGAAATGGTTAAGTTGTCGCACAGGCCAGTATTGAGTAAATGAGCTATAAAATAAGGGAGCTCAAAAAATTGCCTAAAAATCAAAATTTGCTTTTCACTATGGATCAACAGTTTAATGTCTATTAATCATGTCCCAAAGTATTACAGTAGTTCTGGAAGTGGTCAACAAATTGTTTATTTAAAGTTATTTCGATAGTTCATTCTATTAAACAATGTATGCACAAATAACTTTTTTACTCAAAATCATGTTTATCTTGACTCTAACAGTCCTGTGCTTTCACTTTCCAATAACATAGGCTTGAAATGTTCAATTTCAATGAATGACACCTCATTTTAAAGATCACTACTCAGGTACAGTATCTGAAAATACCAATAACTTGAACTTCAAATTTTGCTACAACTTTGCCATTTTGCCGCAACATGTCTCACTTGCCCTCTCCATTAATTTAATATGTGCAAAAACAATAATTATATACATTAATTTACTTTTATCCTGCTCCCAAATTTAAAGCCAGGCAGTCACTGTGCCCAACAGTCACTGGCCGACGTGATTCTACGGACAACGCAACATCACAACGCGTGCAACTGACAGGGTTGGCGCCAGCAGGGGGAAGGGGGGGCGCCAGGGCCCGCTTCGGGGAGAAGCCTTTTTATCGAAGCTCGACCACGCCCACTTTGCTTTCGTCTGGGAAATCTGACCTCCCCCCGTCGGGGCATTGCACCCCCCAGAGTTGGAGTGAGTGCCCGGCCTAGGATTTTATGAATTATCTTCCTACTATTCATCATCCATAATTGTCATTGCTAACAATTCTTACTGGTCATTTCATCATCTTTTTTACAATAAAATTAAATCCTTCAGGTACATAATGTATCAATCACAAATCATTTGTTTTCTTTCTATTTTATCTACATTCAATATTCATTGCAAACAAGTAACATGCATTAACTATTCATTGATGATATTTGAATATTCATTAATGACATTTGAATATTCGCCGTGACATTTGAATATTCAATGTTAATATTGAATATCATACTAATATTGAATGTTTATGAGTACAATGGAAAAAATAAGTCTATGAATTGAAAGATGGAATGTTTCATCCAATAACCAATGTCACATGATATTAAATCCAACCAACCATAATCTTTCTATTGCAAAGACATACATCAAGAAACATGGATATAATTATATATTTTATAATTCAGCTTAACATTGCTGACACTAAATATTCATTATTATTGGAATAATTAATGCATAACCAATGGCATTTCCTCGATTATATTTAAATGAAAATGACAGTTGATTATTTTAAAAATTAATCTTAACAACTTTTAAATACTGAATTGTACAAGATGATGGTATAATAATATACAGTACAACCAACCCCATAACTAGTATCATATTTGTAGTGACTATTGGTACAGCCTATGTTCATCTCCCTGGGTGTACCTTCCATCTCTCCTATCATAAAGTGGGCTCCATCTCTCGCAGTGATGTAATACATTGAGGCCAGCCATCCCAAAACCAGCACATTGTCACTATATCTTAAAACTGAGTAATTAACATAAGAATGTGGCGATATGGTATACTTTTGTACATAGCAAGCCATAATACTTTTGCTCATAACGTTTGCAATGGTAAGTCGATTCCAGTAAAAGACCCATCATTTTAAAACTTATGATGTGGAGAATAAGAATATATTAAAAAGTTCATTCTTTGATTTAAAAAGAAAACTTCGGCATTTATCGGTTTATCCAGGTAAGTGCAAAATAAAAGTAATTCTATGGTTTAAAAGACTTTCGTGAAACTTGTGAGCGAATACTTTGCTTTAAACGCATAAGGCCCTCCAACACTTTCTCGCCCGAGCCCCATTACTGGTTGTTACGCCACTGAACTCTTGTAAAAATGGGCTCTCCCATGAGTGTAGCCTGCATATCTTCATCATCCTTTTTACCTGTGAAGAACCTTACTTGGGTAGATGCATTATGTGAAAGTGAGGCTCCAACAAGTGTGTAGCTTCCATCTCTCGATGTGAGAAGGCTCCATCTGGGTGTAGCCTCATTCAAATCTCCCCTATGGATGGCTATCCAATGTGTTTAAGTTATACTGACACATAACACATTTCTCTTATGGATAGGTTTCCTGTTTGTATATTACACATCTTAAACTACAAAATCTCTAACAACTTACTAAATAACAATTAATTTAAATGTATTAAAACACAGCACTTTGATTTCATTTCTATATTTTGCCAAGCATAGCCAATTGTAAATACTGGTATTATATATGTATATCACTAACTTAACTATCTCACTAACACAGCACATTATCTGAGTTGAAAAATGCTGTCTCAGAAATGATGACAGAAGTGATTTGGACAATACACCTGGAGATAATCGTCTCCCCCAATAATGTACATAGGGCCAACTAGTGGTGTATCTAAGAGTCTGATGATGGGGGAAGGAGAATGAAAGTGAAGCGAGTGGGTGTTAGCTCACAAAATAAGGTAATATGAGGTGATGTATAACTACTTGAGCCTATTTTTTTTTTTTTGCTTTCAAGCATCTGCCCCTACCTACCGCTCACCCCTAGATACGCCACTGGGACCAACGGCTTAATGTCCTACCTGAAGGACAAGGTAATTAGAGCAAAGTGTCTTACCCAAGGACACAAGCGAAGGTTAGCATTGGTTGGCTTTGAGCCAGAGATCAACATCTGATTGCTTACCATACACCTTCAGACTCTCTAACATACGCAACACAACAATTACAAACATAAAGATTAACTAATTTGATCCAACAAATTCATATGTTTTTGTTGTTAAACAAGCGCTTTTTACATACAATGACTATAATGCTGTATATACACATTATTTCAGTGTAATGCATTCTCAGTAATATTTTGTAAAGTACTTCAAATTATCAACAAAACTACAGATCACAGGTTTTACATGATTAAAATGTACTAAATCACCTTTTGCAAAATGTGAATCTAAAACATCTACTAAAATCTTGATATCAACATGCCATAAACTAACGGATACTACCTACAAACATCAAACAATGTCTATTGTTGGAATAAATTTGAACGAGACTATATTGGTGAAAATTACACATACAATAAATCCCATATTATGCAAAATATGCTAGAAAAAAGATGAACGAAAGAAAACAAATTGATTATTAACTATCTTTGAAAATAAAAGATTTGCACAATGACAGCTGTTATAAATATGATAAAAAAAAAGATGAATATAGTGACAATGAAGATGATGAAAAATGATGATGATATGATTAAGATGACGATAAGCAAATAATCATATAAAATAATGATAATCTATAATCAAAATAATAACAATGACAATAATGTTGAAGAGGACAATAATTACAATGATTTATTAGGATTTTGAGCATATTTCAGAAAGCTATCAACAATTACTTAAGTTCTCAGTATCCATGTCTTTCCAAGATCTTAAGTGTGTCTCTGCGGCGAAAATTACCGAGGTCCTTTTTGAGAGTTTCAACCTTCAATTCTGGATTAAAGGTACCCAGCCAACTGAGCAGGGCCTCCGAAGCACTGAGGTGCGGCATTTTACCACTCCATACGTGAATAGTTGTGTTTGGTACGCCATAGTGACCGGCTAAGTTACGCCAATCATGCACGCAGGGAATGGGCAAGTCCAATCGCTGTATAAGTTCTTTACGACAACCTTGATCGAGCCCTATTACCAAACCCTTGTCTACAGTATTTCTGCCATTTGCACCTGAATAATTAAATGAAGTCAAAGTAATTGAAAATTATCTTCCTTGGAGTTCAAGAAAATACAATAGTAGTCAAGATGCTTTGCTCTCTATTTAAAAAAAAACTTACTACCATATTAGATTTAAATTTCAATTATGCAATTTTATTACTTATATTTTACTATCACCATCTGTATTTATTACTATGTGTCTGACCATCTGCCTGGTGTTTTTCTTTTTTTAGTTAGGCTTAATTTTTCCTGTACTTTATAAACTTAATTTGTGTCTTAACTCTTTTTTAACCATTTTTTTTTTCTGACCAGGAGGCATATGCTTAAATTTTCTTAACTCATCACTTTCATAATACTTATCTAATTTGTGCTATATATATTTATTTTAAGTGTGGAAAACTGAATAAATTTAACTGAAATTGAACTGAACATAAAACACACATTAACAACATCAAAAGGTATAAAAAACCAATACTACAAAATAAAATTGACAATTAATGAAAATCCAATAATCCGAATTGGATGGGAGTTTCAGATGAGAGATGTCCAGGGGTTTCTAGTTGGCCTGTTAGGGTGAAGGGTAAGAGCACTCTGTGGCCATCAGGGGGCAATCTCCCTGTAGCTGAAGCATTCTAGCAGATAACTAATGAATTTAATCATAATTATGAAGAATCTACATGCAAGGAGAAAGGGCAGTTTGGTTAATCAGGGTGAGATTTTCTTGCAAAGGGGGGTTAGGCCGAACCATAGACCCACCTGGTTAGAGGATTGTACAGGAATCAATCAAATACACACAAAAAAAGATTAAAGTAAAGAATGAAAATACATACTTCAGTGAAGTACAATGAAATGACAGGCTCAGTAATTATTATAAAATAAAACATCAATTCAGTACTAATTATAAAATAAAGCATCAACATTAAGTATAAATCAACATTTAAAACTAAAACAAACAGCAATGGGGTCTTGGCTAGGGCCATTTCAATGAGTCGGCCTACTCCAGGGACCAGCATTTAATGCAAGTGCCTTTAAAAACCAGACTGTACAGAAAGCCTAACATTTAATATTATCTGAAGGGAGTCAGTATAGGAAGAGCGGACATATGAATAATGAATGAATAGTAATATTCCTTGCCTGAATTCGAGTCTGGAGATTCTGTGGAGTTCTCGTTAGCGTCTGGTAAGTTCTTGTTTCCATATGTTGTCCCTTAAAAAAACAAACAAAAATTAATTAACAAGGTAATGTTAAGAATAAAAAAAATTATTTAAATCACTTTGGCAATCAAAAGGAAAAACTTGGTAATTAGTAATTTATCCTGTTAAGTATTCACAAGGTAGACAAACAAAATGTGAAGCAAGGAGTAAATAGAATCATAACTCATAAGGCAAGTCGAGTGGCTGAACGGTAAGGGAGAGGCGCTGCTAACACAGCCTTAACATCGGCGCTGGTTCGAGTCGCTCCTCGCCCATGTTTTGGTTGGTAGAACCGAGTCTTCTAAGATAAGTCCAGTGTGCACTTTTTTAAAGAACCCACTGCATCTTTTTGGAAGAGTAGGGGGTTACCCACGATGACATGGTTCATTTCAGCCCCTATCGTTGTACAACAATGTGAACGTGTACCTACTAAGTGCCTCTTTATTGTATCTAGGTAGCCACCGGCCATGCCGATATGTAATTCAGCTCGATGATGATGTGAGTTACGGGCTATTCTCCTACCCTCTACACTCCTTTCAGTATTTTCATCATTGATAACACTTGTACTTAACAAATGTACAACTTACAACTTATTGGGTGTGGGTATAATTGAATAAGCTATTCAGCCTCTTCAGACCCACAATCATTTATGCCATACTGCCCAATATGGTGTCAGCATTCTTGTTCAACCAATGTTGGTCCAGTCGCTTTTTAAATATAGTTACAGTAGTTGCTTCAATAATGTTGGATGGGAGGTTGTTCCAATGCTTGATGATTCTATAGCTAAAGAAGTTCTTTCTGATTTCTAGCCCTTTATTCATAGATGGCTTATACACTTTATATTTGTGACCATGAGTGATGCTAGTCGTGACCATGAGTGATGTACATACCTGTAGTGGTAGTAGTCGTGTCTTCATACTGAGGATTGTTTCCATATGTTTTCCCTTAAAAAAACAAAAAAATGAATTAATCTAGAGCTAAAAAGGAAGTGGTGGCAGCTTCGTGGGGACATTGGGATTTTCCCCTATCAGACGGGCCTGGACCTCCCATTGTCAGACGAGGCTGCCAGGTCAAAAATGAAAAACAAAATAATAATTTGCCTATCCAAATACCATTATTTTGATTGCCAATCCCTAATATTGTGGTCTAAAATCACAATTTGGACCAACTTAGAAATAAAAACTCTCCCCAGGGAATTTTTATTCCGGGACCCGGACCGAGGCTCTAGTCGGCTCCTTGGTTCGGACCTCTCCATCGGATATGTCAGACCCCTTGTTGGCAAATTTCTGGAGCCACTGCTGTCAGAAGGTACTTAGCAAGCACAGAATGAAATGATATTCATAATGAAAACAAAATGTTCATTTTACTTAATAATGATACTCTTACGATTCCATCTTAATTTACGTATAGTTAAATACCATGTGTTTATTACATTTATATACTCTTTCATTGGCTATGATGAATAGAACTTGCTAGTTATAATCCAAATTTATTCACATATAAATAAATATCATGTTATATTGATAATGTGTATACTGCCCTGCTTTATATCTGGTGACCACATTTTCTGATTTTATCAATAATTATATTTAAAATTCTAAAACAAACCAAAAAATTAACTTTTTACTGAAGCCTAGAATATTCTGGCATGTTTCAACCACATAACCAGGGGCCAGAACCATTCAGGGAAATATGACCCTGATTCCAGAGAGAATGTAGATGCCTAGCAGCTACCTGGAGCCTAGTAAAAACATGTTGCATGATGCATAGCAACCATATACAGTATAATAATAGCAACCTCAGACTGGCTAGTAACAATGCAGCATTGCTCTAATCCAGGGGTGTGCGTGAAGATCAGCCTGAGGGCCAAAGTGAATTTTTGATTTATCACCGAGGGCCACATCCAAACTTTGATGTTCCAGTGTGCCACTTTATTCTCAGTTTTAATATGACTTTTTACAGATGATTGGTCTCATTTTCGCAGGCCGCAAAAAATAACTGTCAGGCCACATGTGGGTGGCGGGCCACCCTTTGCCCACCTGTGCTCTAATCTCTACTGGATGATTACCTGACTTTTTTCCAGGTCCAATAGATGAGAAGTTTCCACCATTACCTAATATTAACACAAAATAATACAAATATTATAAGGCAAATTATATATTGAAATATAATGCTGACATCACCTAGAAATTCAAAAAGTAAATTAAAATATAATTTTAATATAATTTTGAAAAATGAAAAATGGCAAAAATTTACAGTACCTGTTCCACCTATGCAAGGTTTTGTTCCAATTGGCATAGATTTTATGTCTACAAAGAAAAAAATATTAGAACTATAAAATAAATAAATTTACAACATGGGTATGTTGAGGGTAAGATCAGTGGTGTAAACTGTTTGGTAAGGGTTAGGGAAGATATGCACACCCTACAAAATTTATTAGTGTATATTTTAAGACCTTCAAATTATTTGCAAATATCGTCGCTCACATCACGAACTAACACAATTAAATTCAATTGTGTTAGTTCGTGAAATCAAAAAAGCGCGTCAAAATACGCGCTGCTGTCGTTAAGGACTTTTTGTGTGGTAAAGAATACAAAATTGCTTGACAACCAATACGCGCTCGTTTTGACGGGCTACTGTGATTTCACGAACTAACACAATCTACTTTGATTGTGTTAGTTCGTGATGTGAGCGACGATATATTTGTGTTCTGGCTCAGTAGGAATTACCTTATTTTCATTTTGTTTGTCGCTATATCAGATATATTTAACAGAGTACAATAAAGGCAGCTAAATTTAATATTTAGTTGTACAGTATTTTGTTTCAAATTTCTATGTCGAATATTACAACCTCAGCAGGGCAAAATGAGGCTATGAATAGCCTATTATGAGTTTGTATCCTTAGTGTGCTATAAACATTTTAAATATTTCATGCTTGACTAACCTGGTTCGCTTTTCTCGTTGGCTGGAGCTGGAAGGAAGAAGTTCAATAATTTGAAAACAAATCAATTTGAAGTGATTTAGATTGAGGTTTATTTATAATTTCAATCATTTAAGGTCAATGCTTATACACCTTGACCTCTGACAATTAGTGAACAAAATGTACTACAAACATGTAAAATATAATAATGAGCCATTATCATTATTATATAATTTTCGGTACAATTCTAAGCTGCTTCGGACCTGTGTCTTCCTGTGTCTATTGTAGACTTTCAATAAACAATAACATTATGGTAACACTGTTTACTTATTGCTTTATTTAAATATTATTAAATATATTATAAACTTAAATAATTATATATATTTTTTATATTTATTATATTTTTAAAATAAATACTTAAACAATTATAATTAATTAAATTCTAAATTCTTAAATGTAAATTTATTTAGATTAGATTAATAAAAAATGGACTTAGTAGTTCGTATCTATTCATTAATAAGAATAACAATCTTCAATCTTCTAATCAATTTTATATACTATAGCTGCATTTTGACCTAGGCAAACCTTGCTAAAAAGGTACACTTTCTATATCAAAAGGCTTCTTCTAAGAATGAAATGTGTTCAAAGCACAAACTCCTGTACACCGAACCCAGTACCGTACGATTTTTTAATCGTGTGGGAAATCCACTCATGATGCATCTTAATATTTCCTAAGTTCCTATGCCTATCAGAAGTTAAAGAAACTCTAGGAAATGAATGTTGGTTGATATTTTGTTCAGATTTGACGGATTCTCCAGGAAATTGCAAAATTCATACAACAATTTATTCAAATATGTTTTAAAAATTTCTGATATATCTCGCTGTCCAAATATTGAACCTTGTAGTCCATTTCTAGAAATCGTGGGGGCTGAGAAAGAAGGTGTCTACCCATAGTAAAAGCAGGTAAAAGCACATGCCTACTAATATTTTTGAGGTTGTCAACCATGTCTATGGGCACCAACTGGTACTTTAAACAGTATTTCTATTTAGTGAATACTTTTCTAGACAGTTCTCAATTTGTCAGATGCCTGCTGTACTTACGTTCATATTGAAGACTTAAGAACCCCTTTTCCTGTCGGTTGTGTCCTGCATGTGTCTCTGGGGTGCCACGGTATACTGTTTGTTCCCCTGGGATACTAGGGTCTGCTACATATCCCCCTGATATGCTGGAGTTTGCTGCCTGTTGGTCATGAGTGCCAATGCTAGTAGGCTGTCCAGATGGAGTGGTGACATTTGGTCTCTGATCCCCTGTCACACCAGTTTCAAGACTTGATGGATGTCCTGTTCTTGCATCCTCATTGCAATGATTACTGTTTCTGATCGCTGTATGAAGTGAAAGGTTGGTTTTGTTGGGCATGTCATTCATGCGAAATGAATTATGTGAAGCATTCACTACATTTCCAGCTGTAGAAAGGTTGGATGGCTGACCTAAATAAAGCAAGAATGTTAGAAACTATTTTATCAGAAGGGACTGAATTCAGAAACTATCCAAAATAGAAGTTGAAGGTAGAAGCAGCAGTGACAGACCCTTAGAAAACATTCCATGGCATGTAAGTTCCTTAATAGAAAGCCAACCCCAGGGTCTACCCTGAGAAAATGGTTTAGAACCTAACTTCACACTGAACAAGTGGTCTACCTCTAACTAGCACCCATCCTAACTAAAGGATCAACCCCTAACTAGATGTTCTTCTCAAGAGGGCAACCACTCAAGGTCTACCACTAACTAGTGGTCCACACAACCTGACATCGACTGCGAACAAGAGGTTTGCTCTATTTAAATGTCCATACTAACTAACTAGAGGGTCATCACATAAGGTCTATTCCAAATCAAAGGTCCACACCAAACCAGACATTCACATCTAACTAGAGATCCGCAGCTAATCCTCCAAACTCAAGGATACACCAATGGCACCACCAGCAGAGGTTGGAAGCAGAACTGCTCTAGTCGACCCTTTGTTTGCTCCCCACCCCCCCTACATTATTCTAGATCTAACCCTAACATGAGGTCCACCTCTAACTAATTATATACTTACCATGAAGAGGAGGTGGATTGCTACTTAGGTCATCAGGATTTTCTGACGGGATGTGTGCCCTTGGTGTCTGAAATCCTTTCTGATCAATATTCTTGATTTCTTCTCTATACACAGGCTTCTCTTGACCATTAGTTACGCTCTTGGTTACATGCGATTTCAGTTGAGAGGGTTCGCCATGGCATGATGTGGTTACTTCAGATATCAAACTCTCATAAAGCGGTACCAAGCTTTTCTCATTAATGACCATTTCTCCTTCTTGTGGGTTTTTCCCGCTATATCCAGGCAAAGATGTGTGGCTATTGGGAAGCAATTTTCCTTCTGGAGAAAAAAAATTATAACAATATTTTAAAACACAATTTGAATAAAAAACTTAGTAATGCTTAGTACTAACGATTCATGTCTGAAAACAGAGGGCATTATTTGGGAAAAGGTGATTACCTGGGCCACCAGTGGAATGGTGACTACTTTGTTGGATTTGTCGTCGAACTTCCAGGATTTGCGGCTCTCCAGAGCTGTAGTAAGATTCTGATGGCGATCTGATTGGTTCTGAAAAATTTGTTTTAGTTCAATCAATCAATCAATCAATCAATCAATCAACAATGATTTGTATAGTGCCAATATCCATGGCACAATGCAATGTTCAAGGACGTTACAACAAAGGTCAAAGGTTGTGCACTTGTAAAGCACATATATCATTCACCTCTATGTGTTCTCCAGGACACCGGAAAAGAAAAAAAAATGGTTGAAACATAAAAGAGAGTGGTAAAAATGAAAAACAACACATATAAAGAAAAGTGAAAAAAAAAAAAAAAAAACAGAGCAGGAGAGTGGAAGAAAATTTGTCCAATAAGAATGATTTAAGACAGCGCTAATAAAGATCATAAAATTAGGGTACTCTTGAACAGTGGTAATGAATTAAAGAACTTGGGGCCAACAATTGAAAGGACCTCTTTCCAATAGTTATTACAGTTTATAAATTTAGAATATTATTGGATGGAACGATTTATTTGAAGTATACACCAACCATAACCCACAAAAGTCTTAAGAAGACTTATTTCCAGTGGGGTCCTTCTGGTAGTGACTGGGCAGCACACCGGGAGATAATCCCCTACACTTTTCTGAAGAGTGTACTGCATTCTTTAACATGGCCCAAAATGCGCACAGGACCAATGGCATAAATGTTTCATCTGAAAGAAAGTGCATTATAGAACTTGCATTCAGCCCTCCAGCTAAAATACAAGCAGAGCAGTGATGGGAAATGAACTGGGGATTAAAGACTGAGACAATAATATGGATGATTCAGATTATGATAATGATGATGATAACAATGATGATAGTGATTGTAATGTAATGATTAATAGGATAATTAATTAGATAATTTTAGTACTTACTAAACCAGATATCAAGGGCATCCTCAGCAATAGTCTCCAGTTCTTCACGATAAGGACGTTTAATCGGCAGAAATGTAGAATCATCAAAGATGTCATTGTTCGTCATCTTTAACAGAACAAAATTAGGGACTCCCCCAGTGTCTATGAAGCAATCCTGAATTAAAACTTAAAAAGAAAACCAACAATATATAAATTCATTCAGTATTTTAGTTACTGACATTGTCCTCATATACCGCCACAACCACTACCATGATAATTCGC